ATTTCAAAAGCATCTCGAAATTTTTGGAAGTGCGTGGCTAATGCCACGCACCCTCGAAGTTTATGTCGCGCCCCACCCCCGTGAACGAGCAAAAAAAATTCTCGGCCTCAGTGCTGTCGCGGTTATAAATCCTGATGCATTAATTATCCGGATGTAATCTGTTCTGTCTAAGAGTAACTGCACCTAAGCAAAGAGAATACCACAACCATGAAGGAGCCAATATCCAGGTCCTATGGTCATTCCTATGTCCGTTGTGGAAACTGTACATTGCGTGTATTGGCATAAGCCTCGCTGCTTGGGAAATTTCTTGGGACACAGATTATATCTGCCGTAATCTCCCCGAGGCAGGCTGCATGCTTGACAGTCAACCGTCATGGTTTGTAGGTTGGAATGGCGCTGAGCAGTAAGTGGCTACATGCCCGTGACTTTGGCAAATGAACAGTGGGAGAGCGTTGAAGGTTTTAGGTAGTGGGCAGTGACGACTCGAAATCGCAAAAAGCGCGCTCCATGGGAAAGCGCACGCATGCACTATTTGCGCGCGCACCAGGTGCATTTGAACAGACTATGCAGTATTATTGGGAAAAGTCTACCAATTATATGTTCGCATCCGTTTCCTTATATTTGTACCAAACATCTCCATTTTCCAGCTATGTTCTACGCACAGTTCGTTTTATCAAAGAAAGGACCACTTGCAAGGATCTGGTTAGCTGCGCATTGGGAGAAGAAGCTGTCAAAGGCGCAGATCTGCGAAACGGATTTACAAGGTGCAGTAAACGAGATTGTTAAACCGAAGGTATGCCTAGTACCGATTGTTCTTTTTCTTTTTCAAAGCAGGCACCTTTTACTTGCAAAAGTATTTGTTGCAAAAAGTCAGGCAGATACGGGAAATGAAGAACCCATGCGTAAATTTTTAGTCTTTCGCGAAAACCCTTAGTGGTTCGAACTCCAAAGCTTGTATTTTCTTTAGGAACACTATCATGCATATGGAACACTTTGAGTCGAACCATACAAAGACTGTAAAAAACTTCTTCAGGTCAAGATGGCTTTGCGTACCACTGGCCATCTTTTGCTCGGTATCGTGCGGATATATTCACGGAAGGTGAAGTATCTACTAGCAGACTGTAATGAGACATTCTTGGGAATAAGAAATGCTTTCCGTACTGGTCGGATAGAAACAGCGGATGAAAGGGAAGCTGGAGCGAAGACACTCTCATTGCCAGAGGTACTGTAAACATTTGCATTCTGCGAGTTAAAATTCCTTGAGTTAAAACTTTGCAGGTCTACCGAGATTTTGATTCAACTCTTCCAGACCTTGACGAAATGGATTTCGAAAATCATCTACAGGTTCCCTTGTTGATAGTTTTGTTCTCTTCTTTATATTTGTTCTCAAAGGTCAATCAAAGTCGTATCGGCGATATAACACTATTAGATGAGCAGATTCCTGCTCAGTATCTATTCGACGCCGCTTTTGAGGTTCGTCTTACAATTCATTTTATATCATTGTCATGCAGAACCACAATTGTTTTGCAACTGATAGTCTTTTTTTTTTGCTCGTTAGAGTCACACTGCAGCCTTTTCTTCTGCAGAACGATGAATTTGGAGACATTGGTCTCGATCCAATTCTAACCGCGGTCGACTTTAACTTGTCCGACTTTCCTCCGCTTCCAAACTTGGAAGAAACCAGGTGCGGCTATTTTTTTCTGAAGGCGGTCATAGCTGAAACAATTGTTTTTAATCGTGGTCCTTTCGAATCGCTTACATTTTTGACAGTTAAAGGCAGTGTCCGGGCAAAAACTCGATTTTGA